TTTTGTTTGGAGGGGAGAAGACAACGCCTCCTTTGCTTTGTCCTGGCCCACGACAGACTTCTTGAGTCCTGTGTTTGCAGTGTTGGTTAATGACCGAAGCCTGCGGTCATGAATCGTGGCTCATTAGTGGCAGACACTTTTATCCACACTGTAGAGACACTTATGTGTGCAGATGCTCCGTCATGACATAAAGTCTTCTTTGAATGAGCGTTGGTTAACGTTTGAACACTGAGACATTTCAGTCCATTAGGGAGGATTGTTAGTCACTGTCATCCTTAATAGTTGTGCCAGATGTTCATATAAAGAAAGGGAGAAATGCAAGACAGTGAAAGAGAGGGAAGATGCTGGAGATGGCCAGTTGGCTCTTTGTCAGCAGCAGATGCCCCTCATCTGTCCAAAGATTAATTTGACAGGTGCAGAATAACCTCCCGAGAGCTTCAAAGGTGGTCCTTTTGAATTTATTAACATCTTATCATGTGTTTACTTCACTAAATACATAATTCACAGAGAAACTTCCTTTAACCTTCTGATCCAGGACCAGCTGGGTTTTCTCTGGATTTCCAAGCATGCCTCGATGAAGCTATCCTTCTAGAGGCTCGCTTGAAGCAAACAAACACTTCCTGGGTCTTTTTGTGTGTTTAGCTTCTGGGGCAGCACTTTCAGAAGAAGAACCACCTGACAATATAACTGATAACGAGGCCTAAATGTGACCCGCTTTGTTCTCTCACTGGGTCAAATGCATGTGGCACAAACAGTGCTGCTGATTAAAAAGAAAAACGAACTCCACTGTGCCTTCCCATGACAGGTCTCTGTCCAAGCATTTTGATGTAGCATGACACAAAACATCTGGTTCCTCTTTAGCTGCATGGGGGCGCCTGGGTAAGCCTCCCCTGCAGGATGGTCCATCCGCTTCACAGAGGGGAAATGCGGGAGAGATGAAAGGCCGAGAGAGGAGAGGCAGATAGACAGACAGAGGAGTTTTATTAAAGAACACATCGATGGAAATTGCACAGACATGGAGAGCTGGTGATGTGAGAATTCACTGATGTCTGGTTTTTGGAGCTCTGCTTTCTGCTGCATGTCCCAGGTATTACTTTTGCATCACACGTTTGATGTTTCTGCAGACTCTTCTAGTTTGTTACAACCTTGTAGTTGGATAAAACAGCTGTAGGCTGTTGTAATTATTTGTAATGCATCATTTTTTCACAGTGCCTGAAACATTTGTCCCTACATGTTGGAATCTGGTGGGCAGTGTTTGTAATTTTTGACATTTGGATGCGTTTGCAGCCTGACAGAAATTCCCCAAGAGTTTGAACTTCCTTTTCTGGGTTTCATTCTAGCAAAACTAGTTCAGTCAGTTTTTATATGTACAATCTAAACCATCAAACTCCTGTTGTGTCTCAGCTCACTTTTACGATTGTTGGCTTTTCACCCCGTCTTTAAGTTTCTTCTTATTCTTTTTTTGTTTTTCATGTTGTGATGTTTAACATTCATTGCAAAGCCTGTATGTTTGGAGCCTGCTTTGCTATACATACACATAGTCAGTTCTGATAAATAGAACAAATATATGTTGGCTTAAGATGGGAAAAAGCTTTTGAAGATCACACTGTTAGTAACAGTAAATGGAGCAGGAGATGGAAAGAGATAGAAAGAGAGAAGGAAAATATATGTTTACAAGAAGAGAGTGATGGAGTAGGGAGTGAAATGAAAGGGCAGAGAAGCCCTGTAGCATGTGCAGAGGAGCTGAAGAGTGGGAAGTAACGCAGGAGAGTGCAGGCAAATGAGCTTGGGTAGCAATAGGAAGGAGAAGGTGGGGTGATGTTCACTGTAGAGACGAGAACAGAAGGGACGGGTTTAGAGGTTAATGACAACCTGCAATGAGAGACAAAAGAAGTCGTGAAACACGAGAGAAAATCCCAAGGCTATCTCATGCTTTGCACAAGCTTCAAGATCACAGGAGAAGGTGCTGGGTACTAATTTGGCTCATTATAGTCAAAAGAACTAATGGCAGCTATTGTTCTCCAGCAAATCCCAGTTGAGTCACTGGTGTCCCCTGTGGTTTTGTGCACATGTGTGTTCCTTCTTTCTGGTTTTCCCGATTTCGGTTTTAGTGTTTTATTATATTATGTTCAGATAAATGCCTTAAAAAATGACCTCTGATGCTACTATTCATATAATTACAGTCATAATGGTTTAATGTGGATATCAAGCACAGTCACATCAGTAAGTGATCCCTGTGAGACAAAAGCTCAGGCTTTGACCTCACGCATTTTTTTCACTCTTGGGTCTGTGTGATGTCATTGTGAGTGGTTAGTATGGTCGTCATCATTAGCCGTGAACAGAAGCCTGCTAAACCTTCTGGTTGTGAGGGGCAGCCAATGAGTAGAAAGTTGGCTTGAAGAGAAGGAGATGAGTTTAGAGGGACTGCACTAAGACCCAGTATGAAACAAATAAGGATTATCTTGAACTGTGAAATCTTGCAAAGCTACCCTAAGTCCAAGATTGAAGAAATGGAGCTAAAGATGGCCATAAATCCCAACACTTACACCAATGACAGTCTTCTTAGTGCAGTTCTTCATTCATATATTATGTTCCAAACCACTGTGATTCACTTAGTCATGTGATGTCCCAGATAGCACTTTGAGCAAGACGTAACCTATGAAAGTGGCTTGTTTTCTTCATGCTCCTAATGTCACATTCATTGAACGCACACTGGCATCACAAGAGAACACAAAAAGCATTGGAAGTAGAACAAATACAGATACTGCATATTACTGTGGTTTTCAAGGATTAGCTGACATTTACCAGTTCTTGTATTCATATATTGTCCTTGTGTTCTTCATATTTCTTTCTATATTTAACTCCACCCCGTCACTAGAAAGTCACTGTTAGCATTAACAACTTAGTTTAGGCTCCTATGGCGATAATCTTCTTTAACGCTGTGGTAGCATTACTCTCTCAATTTTTTATTTTGAACTCAGATGGGGATCAGAAGAAAGAAGAAGAAAGATGCCTAATAAATACCCCATAACTCTAACCACAGACCATAACCTGCATCCTCATTTCCTCCACATTTTCCACCAATTTTTCTTGGGTTTTTTTAGCTTCCACACCTGTTGTGATTTTTCTCAAAACCTACCAAAACAATGGCTGACTTTCCCGAGCTCCCACATACCCGACATCTGGAAAAACTAGCCGGTATGTCATTTCCCCCATCGTCAGGTAATTTATAGCGCCATTTGACAGGGTCCCTCAGGCGTATGGAGACTGCATAAGGGTAGAAGGTTTGGTGAAATTCTAGCTCACCTTCTTAAATATCAACAATTTGATATTAGCAGTTAGAGGCACAAGAGTAAAAAGAAAGAAACATATAAAAAAATTGATTGAAACACAGGAATTGGAAAGAGATGTAATCAGCTATAATGATGTTTATTTAATGTAAGCTAAGTTGCTTATTTTGTAAAACAAAAATATGAAAATATTTTTTTAACTTATGAATGTTATAATTTACATTAAGAGGTTAAATAAAATAGACGCACATAGAGTAAAAAATTGTTTAAAGTGATATGATTTCAGAAGATTTCAGTTTCAAGAAAATAAGTAATAATAACATGCGAGTGTGCATGTATGACTTTTTCAAGAAACTGCTCCAGTTTTATAAATAGTTGGATAAATTATGTGTGTTATTGTTTTCTTTGTTTCGTGTCACTCTGTTATCTGATTATTATTAGTCAAAAATATAAGAAAGGAGTATATGTTGTGGTGTTTTTGCTATTGCCGGTGTCATGTGGTTCATCCTGACTGGAGACACGGATCCTCTTTCCTGGTCATTCAGCCAAAATAGCATTTGATGACACTTGAGGGACCTGAGAGAACAGTAAGCGCAACGGTATAACACCCTCCTGCTGTCCAACACACCACAAGGGGCATTTGTCTCCCCAGATGGACTTTTAATACATTTTGAGGGAAGGTGAATTGAAAACACGCTCCACCTGTGGCCCCAGAGTATAAATACCAGCTTCAGGTTTTAAAGATGGCTTCTTTGGCTTTCCAGCTTGCACTTGGCAGACACTCGCTGCTTTTCAGACAGAAAGGCTTTCACGGCACCCAAACTCTGCATGCACCCCTCTTTCATTTACAGGGCAGCCCCTCGCTGCCTTGTGCTGGCACACACACACAAAGAAATGCTTACAGGAAACAAATACCCATGACCGCATGCACTAACACGCACATATATACACATACATAGACATATGATAACTGTGCCGGGATGGCGTAAAGCTATAAATACTCCTCAGGCTGAGGCTGTTATAGGCACGTGCACCCTCCTCCCCGCTTGCTCCACCAAATCCTCATATAGCAGGAAAATGTAATATAAAGCAGAGCATAGTAATTTTTAAAAAAAAGCAACATCTGTCACGGTGCCATGCCTCATTAGTTTTACTGTCTTTACTGAACTTTTGTAGTGGTTTTTCATTTAAATAACAAGCAGCATTACTGTGGCTATAAAAGATCCCTTCAAAGGTGTTCACCAGCTTTATTTTGCATTAATTTAAAGAAGTAAGCTACAGCAAGCTGTCAGAAACTTTTTTTTTTTTGCCTCTCCAGTTACACATCATGTTATTTGAGTCTAATAGCTGTGACAAAAAGAGGAATTAGTATCGCGACTAGTTTTTTTGTCCTGTGTTTTCGGTGATCAATAATAAAGGATGTTGAGTTTGCAGTCATAAACACAGCTGAAACAATTGTTCTAATAGGACATCATAATGAGTCTCTCTGCCTTCCTGTTCAGAAAACAGGTGGAGACGGACATGTCATCATCCTGTCTGGACAGCAAACAGTGCTGTATCCATGTTTCCATTCATTCATCAATGACGGGATATTGTCGCTCCCCCCCTCCAGCTTTAAATAATCACAATCTATGATCGGCTTAAGGCACCACTGCCTTTGAAAGTAGCACTGAGAACTAAAACCACTCTCTCTCTCTCTGCCTCTTCCAGGGGTCCACACAGGTGAAGAATGCGAACTGCTTCTCCGCCATCTGTCCATCAACAAATCAAGTGCATCGGTGCCGGCCACCCTCAAGTCAGCTCAACCACGACGGGCGTCAAACAAAAGTCTTGACCTGGCGTCCCTTAAACGCCCTGTGCAAAGCAAATATTTGAGGCTGGTATATCTAATTTCTCCCGGCAGTCGCCACTGAAAAGATCAACAGTGAAGGGTGTTGTTGGTAGAGAAAAAGAGAGAAGAAAAAGTGGGGGAGGAAGAAGTAACCCTTTCAAACTACACCCTGCCTGCTATTTCTGCTGCACTGTGGGCAGGGAGCATCTCATTTGGGAGAGCTTCAGGCTGACAAAAAAGGACTTCCCTGTTCCCTGCCTATCCAGATGCCTTTATAAATACTGGATAGAGATATCAATTTGCCTGGGTTCTTACACTGCCCAACAAAGAGTCAGTTGGCTATCTATAGAAAAAGTTACAACAATCTTGGATTTTGTGGTTTCCTGAATTGCTACTTGGTCTATTATTGTTCAAAAAACATTTAAGAGCTGTGAGTACAGGAATGGGAGCTGCCAGTCCTCTATAGTTAGAAACTTTTCTAAACGCTCCCACTAGGCTTGAAATTTCACAGAGCTTACAACAGCTCACTGTGGGACGTCGGGAGCTGTGAGTCAGTTTGGAGGCTGCGGTTTTGATGTCTTTTCCAGCTCGGTGAATTAACATGAAGCCCCTAACGCCAATTGGATCTCCTTCACCTCTGAGGCTTCTCAACAAGGGTCCAGACTACTTGCGTAGGCAGATTGATGGCGGCGGTCACGGCCGCTCAGTCAGCGCCGTGGAGAGACTCGAGGCAGACAAAGCCAAGTATGTTAAAAGCCAGCAGGTGATCAACACCAAGCAAGAGCCTGTACTTGTACCCTGTGCCACCCCACCGCCGCCACCCCGGCGAGCAATCACCATCCCTGCAAGCCTGACGCCTCATCTTCCCCCACAGCGTCCGTCCAACACTCCATTCCCTCCGGTCTGTGGCTCCTTCGCTGCAAGAGACGAAAATGAAAACGATGACTCGAGAAAGGAGAACAGACGGACTTCTGTCGATGTTGAGGCACATAACAGGAGCAATGTGAACAATGCGCCCCCCAGCCTGCGCACACCTGGACTTAACACCTTGGTAGCGCCACACAGCGCTCCCATTCTCCGAAGGAGTACAGGCAAACGCATGCTGAGGCCAGACTCCCTCGTCATCTACCGGCAGAAAAAAGAGTGCAAGAGCCCGAGCAGTACAGCGGTGGGAGAAAACAATAACATGGAGATAAAGGGCTACAGTTTCGTCCGCCGCCTCTTCCAGGGATCCATGAGGGAGAAGAGTAGTGGAGGTGAGAGCAGAATCCAGAAAATGGTCATCGGTGAAGAGAAAGCGTCATCCCGGGATGGCGACTCTCGCATGTCTTGGACCAACGATAAAGATGCGCCAGACGGGGGACCGGGGAGCAGGAGGTCCAGCAAAACTGACCACGAGCGCAGCCCAGAGTCTGCCCCCAGCTCCGGGTTAAGCTGCACGCTTGAAGAGATTAAGAATGGCTTTACAAATGGCACCGGCGATGGAGTTACCAATGGAAACCACTCAAACAAGCATGACGATGAGAATGACCCGTGGAAACGAGCGTCACCACCGGCACCCAGAAGACAGTTTGGAGAGTTGCGGCGCTCCAAGTCAGACTTACATCTGCGCTGCTCAGTAGCGTTATCGGAGCAGGAGCATTTCTTTGACTTCTGCGGGCTGGACATAGATATGGTAGAGCGTCTGGGTCGCCAGAATTTCCTCTCAGGGGCCAGCTCTATAGACACTCTCTCGTTGGCGCTCCGCAGCGTGGGCGGGGACGTCTGTGGAGGCTCGGAGCCCAGTGAGTTCTCCCGCCACTCAGGAGATGGACTGTTTGAGGAGGAGCTGGCTGAGCAGCTTCCCACTGGCGTGTCAATAATTGAGAGAAATGCTCGTGTCATCAAATGGCTTTACGGGTGTAAAAACGCCGCCCGTGAAGGACCCAAAGAATCAACGGTTTGATAGCTGGACGAGGATCCCTGTGCCATTGAGAGCTGTGTAGGTGTTGTGTAGTTCACATAAATTTAAAGTACGTTATCCTCTGTGGGCTGCAACAGAGTGCAACATTGTTTGGTTTTTTAACTTTTGAGGCTCAAACAGTTTCGTCAATCGAATCTGGCTTCAAAATATGATTTGAATTTTTACATTTCAAACGAGAGTCAAAGACGCTGGATTTGTTTCAGTGGTCAACATTCACAGGATTAGCATTTCATGACACGCATCTACCTTTGCTCCCTTCACTCCAAAGTCACAGCTTCTTTAAATTAGAGAATAACTGCTAATACTTATATCCTGTCAATCTGATTTGTTGTATTTATAGAGCCTAAGGAAGTGTTTTGTGACCTTTACGGCAAATGGAGCTATTTTCCGTCGCATTTTTTTCCCCCATTATCATAAATGTGTATGAGTGTGTGTGTGGAGTGGGCGCTGGATTACTGTCCTCTCCATTTGTAGCTTCTTTTCATTTATTTGCATAACCAGATAAGAACTGATTTGAAATGAGCCCCCTGTGAATCCTCACAAGGCACATAAGTGTGTGTTTGTTTGACACAGTCAACCCAGCTTAGCCTCCTTGACATCACCGCTCTTCCTAATGACTAATTTAAAATGGAAAACCACTAAGCTATGTTTTTTCCAACAGGAAAAATGCTGTGTGAGTGTGAAGTGAACCATGAGTACCTCATTCGAATCTGTCCCAGTTTAGTTTGTGTGTCGCTTTTCTTTTTTTTTTACTCCTTAAACGCAGGCGTTGGAACAAACATGTGAGGCACCCCCATGGGGTTGTTAATGCACTGAACTGGACAGAGTGAGGAAATGACACATAGAAATATAGTTTTGACTCCTTACAGATATTTCATCTCATATAATGTTAATCACTGAGCTGGATTCAAAGAAGCTTCTTTGTCCTGAAAAAAAAGGAGCCATGCTTAGCTAGTTTTCATTATTTGAAATTCATTTTTCAACCCTTAGTTAGGATCAGTGTTCAGGATATTTAATGTGACCCACTCACAGATTTCCACACCTATTCAGTGGTCACTGCTGGGTAAGCTTAAGAGTTTCAGGAATGAAAACAGGAATAAACACCCTGTCTGTCCTGTGACTGTGAACTGGATTCAGCAGGCGAATATTTGTGTTTCACTGAAATTTCATATATATAAAAAAGTAATATATTATAAGAGTAAAAGAACTCAAGCTGACAGGCCTTTCCTGCCAGATGCTTTAGGATGTCATTTCCACCATCTGGCAGCTTACAGATGTTAACTCGGTCAACCCGATTCCCATCACAAAACATGCAAAAGGGGCTGAAGCCGCCCTGCTCTCCCTGGTAACCGCAGATCCTACCTCACCTTCACCTCATCCATTCTTCAGTTATTCCCGCTTTATCTTAATGAAAGGTCATTTCCATTGCTTGCCCTGGACTGCGCCACTGTAATGTGAACTGCTGAGGTATGTGGAGGTTAGACTGAGAGTATTACTGAACTCAAGGGCATGTTACTTGCAATGTCAATTATTTTCTGTATTAATCATGAGCATGGCACACTCCTGAGAATCTTTCCACCTGGATTTTTTTCAGATCTCCCTGTTAAGAAAAAAAGAAAAATTTGTTTGCATGTTTTGCAAAGTGGCGACGTAACTTCTGATTCTCCTTTTTTAATTTCACACACGAGAGGTTCGGCTTTTATTCCAAAGAAGTTTGTGTATGATGTACACAGCAAATAAACACAAAAATGAAACTATCTTCGAGTATGTGATTTCTTGCCACCTTGTTATGTTTTTTTCTTGGCTAATTTTGGACAGATTAACCACCGATTGCGGCATAAACACAAGAGAATGTAAGAAATGTGATGCTGTCTCGTCCTTGACTCTTTGTTGCTTTCCTCCGCCACATCACGTCTCATTTTTCCCCATTATCTCAAATGGCTAGGCGCTAATCCTTTTGGCATTCCCTGCATAGCATACTCTTGAGAGAGCAGCAACAGGTTGTGTTTATAGACAAGGAAGCCTCTGTGTGGCCTGATGCTATGTCTACGCTGTCGGAGCGCAGACTCTCCACCCTGTCTGCAGCCTCCTCCTGACACTTTTTGTGTCTTCTCTGAGTCAGCATTTGTTTTCATGCTCCAACTCACAGTGGTCTGAAATCTTAAGAGGAAAATCTAAAAATATTTTGATTTGACAATGACATCCGTCTCCCTAAATCTAGTCACAGCTTTAAAAAAAGCTTTGCTTTTAAAAGCAAAAACGACTGCACGCTGACACTTCTTGGAGACGTCTGTGGACCTACTGAAAGAACACCACAAAGCACAATCTGAGTGGATTCTGCAGAGGATTTTTTTAATGTAAAACTTTCCCAAAGTCAGAGGAAGTGATTTATATTTTCATGATGTGAACCCAATGCAGATTCTTGTGCCAAGAGGGGAAAAAAAGCTTTTTGGCTCGTGCACCATGGGATTGCTTTGCAAAACCAATCTGCAAGAACTACTTACACACAGGCCTTAAATGGTGCTGATATGGTGCCATTTTACAAATGATTGTCATTTGCAAACTGCAAATGAACTTCCAAATTCTGCAGTCCAGTGGTGCAGGTAGTAGCGGTGTGTTCAGACTACCAATAAAACAGCAACTAACTACATTTTTCTATATGAAAGCCAGAAATATGAGGCTGCAAATTCACAGTAAACACGTGCGGGTGTGGAAAATAAAGGTTGAGCTGGCCTCAAATTTTTTCATTCCTATAGTGAAGCATCAACCACTCTCTGGCCACTCTGACCACTTAATTAATTACACTAGTATCCCTTAATTCTTCATGGCATAAATTCACCAAGGTGACTTAAACATTCCTCAGAATTTGGTTCATGATGACATCACAACATCACACAGTTGCTGCAGATCTGTCGGCTTCGTATCCATCATGAGAATGTCCTGTTCCCATGCATCCTATAAGTGAACATGGAGAGAGGTCTGGTGACTGTGGAGGCCATTTGACTACAGGGAACTGTTTGTCTTACTCAAGAAACCAGTTCTGGTTTGAGCTGAGCTTTGTGACACGGTCATAAAGGGACGGGTATGGTGAGCAACAATACTCAGATATGCTGCGATGTTTATATTTGAAAAATGGCAAAAAAAAAATCATATTTGGCATGGTTGGATCTTAACAAGGTTCCAAGTAGAGCTTGCAACAAGAAGAAATTGGAGTGAGACAAAACATGCAAAAAGTGAGCATGCAGTTTATTGAAAGCAACGCTTAAACTGAAACAGGCTGTTTTACAGCTGATCAAGGACCACATGCCTTTAAAGGCTAAATCTGTGCAAAAATTTGTATTCATTGTCATTTTCGGTCAGATAGTCACACTGTCATAACATTTTGATGGCCAAGGCAAAAAAAACGTTCCCTTTTTAAATGTGGTCAGGTTGTTGAACTGCACAGCAGGGTCTCTCGCAGCGCACCATCACTGCTGAGGTGGGACACAGTAAGGCAGTCATTTGGAACTTCGTAACCGATCCTGAGGGTTACGGAAAAAGTCAAGTGGAAGACCCCCAAAAATTTCACCAGCACTGAACCGGAGGATCCAGTTGGCTGTCTGTCAACACACTGGACGATCCTCGACCCAAATGAAGTCCATTACTGGTGCCGACTGCAGTCCCATAACCATCAGACGCCATCTGAGACTGAAGGGCTTCAAAAACAAAAAGCGTCTTCAAACTTTTGAAGAAACAAGGCTCATTTGGTTTTAAGTGTCCGAAAGCATGCCAAGAAAATATCCCTCACACGTTACACAAACACCAGCAGCCTGAAAACTGTTGATAAAGGGCAGAATGGATCCACACTTTCATGTTATTTACTGAAAACCTGAATTTTGAACCAGAAATTTGAACTCATCTGACCAGGCAACATTTTTCCAGCCTTCTGTTGTCCAGGTTTGGTGTGAATTGTAGCCTCAGTTTCATGTTCTTAGCTGACAGAAGTGGAACCCTGTGTGGTCTCCTGCTGTCGTAGCCCATCTGTTATGTGCTCCAAGATGCTCTTCTGCACGCCTTGGTTATAAGAAGTTGTTATTTGAGTTACTGTTGCCTTCAGCTCCAAGCAGTCTGGTCATTCTCCTCTGACCTCTGGCATCAACGAGGCATTTTCACCCAGAAAACTGCTGCTCACTGGATAGTTTCTCTTTTTTTGGACAATTCTCTGTAAACCATAGAAATGGTTGTGTGGGAAAATCCCAGCGGATCAGCAGTTTCAGAAATACTTAAACCAGCATGTCTGGCTCCAACAACCATGCCTCATTCAAAGTCACCTTTCTTCCCCGTTCTGATGCTCAATTTGAACTTCAGTAAAAATTACAAAAATGCCGTAAGACAGTTTTTTATACTCAGTGTCCTGTCATTACTCCAAAGTAAAGACATTTTGCTACCTTTAACTCTGTGAGCTCTGAGTCATCATCAGTGTTGACCCCAACCCTACCTCCAGCCTTTTGATCTACTGATTGACAGCCTTGATAGCTTTAGCAGAACAATAAATAACAAAAACACACAAAAAAAGTCAAAAGAATGCATATTTACAAGGTTACCGTGAGGATCATCACTGATGATGATGATGATGACTTGGACCTCTCGGGGTTAAAGGTAACAAAGTCTATCATTTAGCACCTTAAAGCCTCCACGCTAACTAGTGGTTGTCTCCAGGTACATAATTTACCAATCAGATCTGAGAATCATCTTTCTAGCCAAGTGTCCACAGCATATTTCCCCAAATATAATCTATTCCTTTAAGATATCCAGATAAGCTCTCATCAGGTGGGCTGTTTTACTGCAAACTGCTCAATTATTCACTGTCCACTGAGCAGCCCCGGGATTAGTCAGCAGATGACTCATTTAGCAGTTTACAGAAAAGAGTTGACCAAATTCACAAAGAGGCTTTTCCCAACATATATGATTTCTATTGTAGGGAGTTTCCCTTTAAAGAAGCACAACACAGTGTGAGGATATTTAAGCAAACAAACATCTGACATGTTCACCAGTTTGCACACACTGAACAAAGCTTTTGCAAGGTTGGCAAGTTACAACAGCAGCACTTACACTGTACAATAAGTGCACTCACACAAGCACACACGCTAATCTAATTTCTTTCTTCTTGTATACCACACTTCCTTTCCCTCTTTCTGTCTTTCCCAAAGCAGAGCAAAACAATAGCCCTCCTGTTTGCCTGCATCTCTGTCAGCTACGCTGACCGGAGGGCCTGCTGTGACATCCTGTTTTGGGTTCATAGGACAAGGTTTAAACATATGGTCATGTTTTGGGTTTGGCTTTTTTTTTTCTCAGTCTGCCTGGAAATAAACAGACAACAGCTGGAAAAGGACTATTTGGGTCTGATTATTACAGGGTTGACGAGGTTTAGGCTGGTCTAGTGCTGAGCAAGCAGAAAGACTGAACTGGTGTACCTGTTAAAGATTTTAGTGTGCTTGCAAAAAAGGGAAAGAAATGCCCAGTAGTTTGAAAAGTGGATGATAAACCAGCAGGAATCCAGCACTCCAGGCTTTGATGCTGCTGCTGATGTGTTTTTTCACTCACTTTAATACAGACACACACACACAGACACACAGACACAGACACAAACACAGTCCGAAGACCTTCCGTATCACACTTTTGCCAACCAGCACATGTGGATCAGCAATCTTTTGACCCATTTATGACTTGATAAACTGGATATTTCACTGAATGAAATCTTTTGAACTCCCCTCAAAACTATTTTTGGTAGTTTAATAAGCTGCAAATGTAGACTTTTAGCTTACACAGGAAGCCGTTGTTGTTCCTCTGCTCAAAGGCCTCCAGTACCACTAAAGCATAACAGACTTATTTCTCAGACAGTGGATGGAAATCTGATTCCACTTTACCAGGGGTTTTAAACACTTACAAGGCTTTAAAAAAAAATCTGGCACTACTCGGTGAAACAAAGCACAAGTTTCTTTTCCACTAAAGCTTCTAATTCAGCTCTTTGATAACACCTTAGGTCAAACACTTCTGTGCTCGTGTGGCCTCTGACTGCGATCCATTTGTAGCTGGGATCTTTCTTCTGTGCTCTGAGAAGTAATATTGTGTGTCAGGGTTAGCATGGGTTGTGAAGTGTGTCAAATCTGGCCTAGTTCTTCTGCGCCAGCAGCTTCGGCAGACTGCGGATGTCTACGCTTGAGAGAAGCTTGGTTCATGACTCAGAGACTGAGAAAGTAACAGCACATGCACACAACCCTGGCACACAGTGGACTGCCAGGAGAGAAGTCAACTATTTCAGCTGTTAGCAAGGCACACCTTCATCACAGATGTGCTAGAAACATCAACAAGCAAAGGTGACCTGTTTGATGCGGTAGTGGTGGTCATCTAAAACCAGAGGTGTCGTGTAGGAAAACAGCTCTGTCCTACTTCCACACTGATTCTGGCATGTGTGTCAGAGTATAATCCTTTTAGAGTAGAAAGGGTGATAAAAAAAATAAGATGAAATATTTGCCAACAAGTCTTTTGACTAAAAAGAATAAGAAAAAACAGACCAGGGATAGGTTACGAATTACTATATATATGAATTTTAAACCATGATTATGATTATGTATTTGTCATTGGTCATTGCTTGCATGAACAGTGGTATCACCATATGTGCACTTTCTTCAAGGCTCATTACAAAATAATACCTTTGTTTTTATGCAAAATGCCTTTTCTTTTCTGTGTCTGTAATAAGCAAACAAAACTTGAGGAT